CAGCAACAGCAGCATAAACAACAACAACAGCGCAAGCATCACCACCATCATCATCAGCACCGCCGCCATCAGCAGCAGCAGCAGCAGCACCATCAGCAGCAGCAGCACCACCACCACCACCATCAGCAGCAGCAGCACCACCACCACCACCATCAGCAGCAGCCGCACCACCACCACCATCAGCAGCAGCAGCAGCAGCAGCAGCAGGAGGCCCTTACCTATCCCTGCCCCTGTAAGGTACACAGCTATGGGGCCCCCGAGGCCCCCCGCCCCCACGAGCAGTACCCTGCAGTTTGCTGCTTGTCTTTGGGGGCCCACCCCCCAGGACGGCAGCAGCAGCTGTCTTCCTTGTCTTTGTATTTGTCGATGAGATAATAAACAAATAAAACCTAAACTATCTGCTGCTGCTGCTGCTGCTGCTGCTGATAGGCGAAACAAACCAGGAGACTGCTGCAGCAGAGAAGCAGCGTCAACAAACAACGGCTGGAAACCCTCACAAACACTCCTGCTGCTGCTGCTGCTGCTGCTGTTGCTGCTGCTGCTGCTGCTGTTGTTGCTGCTGCTTGTTCTATGCTGCTGCAGCAGCTGCTGCTGCTTGCTTGCTGCTGCCGTCGCCCCTGTTGCTGCGGCCCCTGGTGCTGCAACCCCTGCTGCAGTTGCCGCTGCTGCTGCTGCAGTTTGCTGCTGCTGCAGCGTAAGGTCAAGGGGGGCCCCCAGTACCCTGGAAGGTCACTAGGGGCCCCCAAGGCCTAAAGGAAACGGTGGGGGGCCCCAGGGGTCTTATGCTGCTCTGCGTCAATAAAACAAAATAATATTATTTACTATTAATTTATATAAAGCAAATAAACATAATAAAAAGAATATATAGAGGAGGAAGAAGTACAGATGACTGCTGGGGGCCCCTTGCAGAGACCCTGGGGGGCCCCCCCGGGGTCTCCTCTGTAGCTTGGGGGGCCCCTGCTGCGCTGGGGCCCCCGGAATGGGTCCTTTTGGTTGTTATGTTTTGTTGTTAGCGGTTTATACTGCGGCTGAACAGCAGCAGCAGCAACAACAGCAGCAGCAACAGCAGCAACAGCAGCAGCAACAAGAGCGACTCGACGGCGCTCTGCAGCAATAGCAGCAGACTGTGGGGGCCCCCCCTCCTCTCATCTTTGCTGGGCCTCTGCGGGGCCCCCGGGGGCCGTTTGTCTTACCGGTTTGGGGCCCCTGAGCGGGGGCCCCTGCATCTCTGGGGGCCCCCCTCAGGGGCCCCGTGCTGCAGTTGCTGCTGCTGCTGCTGTTTGCTTTCAGCCCTTCACAGGGTTTGGGGGGGCCCCCGAGCGTTGCTGCTGCAGCTGACGGGGGCCCCCTTCTCCCTTCAAGGGGCCCCTAAGTTCGGCCCCTCCGCACAGCAGCAAGCAGCAGCAGCAGCAGCAGCAGCAGCAGCGTCAAACCCTCATAAGGGGGCCCCCCATGGATTCCTGCCGTACCCACGCTGAGGGGCGCCCCCATGAAACAACTGGGGGGGCCCCCCGGGGGGCCCCCGTACCCTTGGGCCTCATCGAGGCCTTCAGGGACCTCTGCAGCAAATGCGGGCTCAACGCAAAGGAGATACAAGAAATAGCTGATGATATCACAGACGGTGCTGCTGCTGCTGCTGCTGCTGCTGCTGCTGCTGCTGCTGCTGCTGTTGTTGCTGCTGCTGCTGCTGTTGTTGTTGCTTTTGTTGGTGGTGCTGCTCCTGGTGGTGGTACTGCTGCTGATGTGTTGCTGTTGCTGCTGCTGTTGGTGGTGCGGCTGCTGCTAGTGTTGCTGCTCGTTCTGTTGCTGCTGTTTTTGTTGTTTCTGCTGCTGCTGTTTTTGCTGCTGCTAATACTACGGATATGCTCAGAGTGAACCTCTTCTTCTGCGTCTGTGTTGCTGCTGCTGCTGTTGCTGCTGCTGCTGCTGCTGCTGCTGCTGCTGTAGGGGGCCCCGAGTGCAGTACCCTCGAGCTTTCTTATCTTTGGCGTTGTTTTGGGGCTGCATGCAAACTGTTGGGGGCCCCCCCCCCCACAATAAAAACGGGGGGCCTCTATGCCCTGCTGCAGCAGGCAGCAGAGAAAGGGTACTGCAGCGTCTCTGCTGCGCCTGCTGCTGCTGCTGCTGCTGCAGCAGAAGGGATACTCGATCAGAGGGGCCTCACCTGGGGGCCCACAAAGCTGACAGGCAGCAGCAGCAACAGCAGCAGCAGCAGCAGCAGCAGCAGTTGTGGTAGTAGTAACAGCAGCAGCGGGAACGAAGTTCGAAGCAGCAGCAGCGGCGAAAGCACCAACGTATGTTGCAGCAGCAGCGGCAGCAGCAGCAGCAGTAGCAGCAGCAGCAGCAGCAGCAGCATAGAAGGGCACCTAAGTTTCCTGTTGGGGGCCCCCGAGAAGGGGCCCCCTCTTCCTGTCTACCCCGGGGGCCCCTCTTTATCTCAGCAGAAGGAGGAGATAGAGGCCCTTCACAAAGCTGCTGCTACTCTTCACGAGGCATCCTGGAGGCGGTGGGCCCCACAGCAACCACACACCCGGGGGGCCCCCATAGACAGGGGCCCCTCGAGGGGCCCCCGCGGGGGGCCGACATGGACAGGGGCCCCTCAAGGGGCCCCCGCGGGGGGCCCCTATAGACACGGGCCCCTCAAGGGGCCTCCGCGGGGGGCCCCCATAGACAGGGGTTCCTCAAGGGGCCCCCCCGGGAGGCAACCAGGGGGGCTCCCTATAGCCAGGGGCCCCTCAAGGGGGCCCCCCGGGGGCCCCCTATAGACAGGGGCCCCTCAAGAGGCCCCCGCGGGGGCCCCCTATAGACAGGGGGCCCCTTGGGCCCACAAGGGAGGCATCGGGTTCTTTCAAGGGTAGAAGCGTAGCAGCAGTCGCGCCAGGGAAAGTTGAAGTCTAGGGTTTAGGGTTTAGGGTTTAGGGTTTAGGGTTTAGGGTTTAGGGTTTGTGTTGCAGGCTGCACATGGGGCACTGGGAGTCTGTCCCTCTTTGGTGCCGCGAGGCCCATGGTGCTGCCTGTCTCCTCCTCAGTCTCTGCTACGCTTCGAGTGCAGCAGCAGCAGTTGCAGCAGCAGAAGCATCTGCTGCTGCAACTGCAGCAGCAGCAGAAGCAGCAGAAGCACCGGCAACACATACAGCAGCAGCAGCAGCAACTGCAGCAGCAGAAGCAGCAGCACAGTGGGACTTTCTCGAGACAGCTGAAGAGGGATTGCTTCTCGCCTTTCGCTACATTGACTTGGGTAGGGGCCTCACAAAAGGGTTTAGGGTTTAGGGTTTAGGGTTTAGGGTTTGTAATGCAGGGTTTAGGGTTTAGGGTTTAGGGTTTAGGGTTTGCAATGCAGGACTGATCATGGGGGGCCCCAAAATCCGGGTGTATGGACGGCTGACAGCAGCAGCTGCTGCTCTGGATGTCTTTAGGGAGCGGTTGCTGCTGCTGCTGCAGCAGCAAGAGGAGCAGCAGCAAGAGGAGGAGGAGCAGCAAGAGCAGCAGCAGCAGGAGCAGCAGCAGCAGCAGCAAGAGCAGCAGCTGGAGACACGGCCTTCTGTGTCAGCTAGCAGCGATGAGGGAGACAGCAGCAAAGGGGGGGCCCCCGGGGGGCCCCCTGTTGAAGATAGAGACAGACCAATGGTCCCCATCCAGAGAAAACGGGCCCCAGTGGAGGAGAGAACAGGTAAACCCTAAACCCTAAACCCTAAACCCTAAAACCCTAAACCCTAAACTTCAAACCCTCAATGGTAGAAGTGTTGGCTGGAAAAAGTTGCAATGCGCTCAAGGCTTGACGCTATGATTCAGTTTTCACAGTTTAGGGTTTAGGGTTTAGGGTTTAGGGTTTAGGGTTTAGGGTTTAGGGTTTAGGGTTTGTTGTATGTGTGCAGCGATAGGGTTTGAGGATTTTCTTGTGAATTACCTGCAGCAGCAAAAGCCCGTTCTGCTCCGAGGTATATATCGTCGTTGCTTCTCTCCCCCCACAGCGTCTAGGGTTTAGGGTTTAGGGTTTAGGGTTTAGGGTTTGGGGTTTGGTGCAGGCTGCGTCGCTGCGATGCCGTGTGTGGAGCTGTGGGGGGACTGGGGACGGCTGCGGAGACAGCTGGGGCACCGGCTGGTGCCTGTGGAGATAGGTAGCAGCAGCAGCAGCAGCAGCAGCAGCAGCAGCAGCAGCAGGCAGCAGCAACTGTCTCCTTTTTTGTCTCCTTTTTGCTGCTGTTCTTTTTTCTTTGCTGCTGTCTTTGTCTCCTCTTTGTCTCCTTTCTGCTGCTGTCTTTGTCTCCTTTTTCTCGGTCTTTCTGTCTCCTTTTTTGTCTCCTTTCTTCCTACTTTCTCTTTCTCTGTCTCTTCTGGTGCATGCACTGTCTCTTTGTCTCCTTTTCTCTCTCTCTCTGTCTCTCTCTGTCTCTCTTTCTCTCTCTCTTCTCTGTCTCTGTGTGTCTCTCTCTGTCTCTCTCTCTGTCTCTGTCTCTCTCTCTCTGTCTCTCTCTCTCTGTCTCCCTCTCTCTGTCTCTCTCTCTCTGTCTCTCTCTCTCTCCCTCTCCCTCTCTTTGTCTCTCTGTGTTTTGCTTTTGTATCTGTCTCCTTTTGTGTTTGTGTTTGTCTCCGTCTGTTTGCGTCTCCCTTTGTGTTGTCTTTTTGTCTCCTTTTGTTTTTTGTCTCTTTTCTTGTCTCCTTTTGTTTTTTTTGTCTCTTTTTGTTTTGTCTCCTGTTGGTTGCTGTATCTATCTGCTGCAGCATATCTGTCTCCTTTGCTGCCTCCTCTTTTTGTCTTTCTTCTTGCTGCTGTCTCCTCTGTGTTTCTCCGTCTGATGCACGTGCTGCTGCTGCTGCTGCTGCTGCTGCTGCTGCTGCTGCTGCAGGCAGTTCCTATGCTGAGGAGGGCTGGACCCAGCGGCTGATGCTCTTTGAGGATTTCTACACTGAATTCATCGACCCGCCTAGTATGCTGCTGCTGCTGTTGCTGCTGCGGCTGCTGCTGCTGCTGCTGCTGCTGCTTGCGTTGCTGCTGCTGCCTTTTTGCAACCACTGCTTGTCTTGCTGCAGCTGTTAGTTTCATTCGCTGCTGCTGTGATTTTGCTGTTTCTATGGGGTAGTGTAGCTGCTGCAGCTGCTGCTTTTGCTGCTGCTGCTTCTGCTGCTGCTGCTTCTGTTGCTGTTGCTGTTGCTGCTGCTGCTGCTGCTGCAGTCTGTGGGCGTTGTTGTTTGTGTTGCTGCAGAGGGTACTGGGGCCCCCTCGGGGGGCCCCCTCGGGTACCTCGCTCAGCATGCGCTGCTGGAGCAGCTGCCCTTTCTGGCTAAGGAGGCCCCTATACCTGACCTTGCTGTTGCATGTGAGGTTTGCTGCTGCAGCAGCTGCTGCTGCTGCTGCTGCAGCAGCAGCTGCTGCTGCTGCGGTTGCTATTCTTGTTCTTGCGGCTGCTGTCCCGGCTGTTGCTGGTTCTAAGGCTGCAGTTGCTGCTGCTGCTGCTTCTGCTGCATCCCCTTGCTGCTGCTGTTGCTGCTGCTGCTGTTGCTGCTGCTGCTGTTGCTGCTGCTGCTGTTGCTGCTGTTGCTGCTGTTGCTGTTCCTACTGGTCTTACTTCTTGCTTGCATTTGCGTTGTTGCCTCTGTGTCAGTTGTTGCGTTGTTTTGTTTGTGTCTTTCTGCTGTTGCTGCTCCAACTACTGCCGTATCTGCTGCCGCTGCTGCTGCTGCTGCTGCTGCTGCTGCTGCTGCAGGTGCTGCTACGGAGATAACGCGTTTGGTGTGGATAGGCCCGGGGGGGACTGTGTCTCCTCTCCACACGGACAGCAGCGAGAACTTCTTTATGCAGATCGTCGGCAGCAAACGCATGCAGCTGTACTCGCCGCAGCAGACACCAGCCCTGTACCCCTTTGAAAAAGTAAGCTGCTGCTGCTGCAGCAGCAGCAGCAGCAGCAGCTGCTGCTGCTGCTGCTGCAGCAACAACAACACCAGCAAGACACACTGCTGCGGATCCATGCCGTGCTGCTGCTGTTGTTGCTGCTGCTGCTGTTGTTGTTGCTACTGCACGCCCTGCTTCTGCTGTTGCTGATGCCGTGGGTCGACGACGTGCAGCTGCTGCAGCTTCTGCAGCAGCATTAGTTGTTGCTGCTGCTGCAGCTGCTGCTGCGTTCACTGCTACTGCTGCAGCTGCTGCTGTTGCTGCAGCTGTTCGCATATACGCCCCTTGAGTACTTGGAGCTGGGTATGTCAGTGCATTTGCTGCTGCTGCTGCTGTTGCTGCTGCTGCTGCTGCTGCTGCTGCTGCTGCTGCTGCTGCTGCTGCTGCTGCTGCTGCTGCAGGGACTGCTGCGGAACACATCTAGCCTGCCTTCGTCTCTGGTGTCTGCTTCTAGTCTTCCTGCTGCAGTGTACAGACAGCAGCAGCAGCAGTTTGCTCGTTTTTTTAAGGAGACAGAATGCATCGATGTGCTGCTGCTGCCTGGGGACTGTCTCTTCATACCCAGGGGCTGGTGGCACTACGTACAGGCAGAGACAAACAGCATCTCTATCTCCAACTGGTTTCAAGCTTAGCTGCTGCTGCTGCTGCTGCTCCTGCTGCTGCTGCTGCTGCTGCTGCTGTGGTCGGTGCTGCTGCTGCTGCGGCTGCGGTCGGTGCTGCTGCTGCTGCGTTCGCTGTTGCTGCTGCTGCTGTACCGGCAGCAGAAGCTCTTACTGTTATTCTTGTGGGTGCACTGGCGGTGGTAGCAACACGGGCAGCAGCAGCAGCTGCTGCTGCTGCTGCTGCAGCAGCAGCGCGTGCTGCTGCGGCGCTTTCTGCTGCTGCATCAGCGGCTGCTCTCAGCGTATACTTTTCCTAGGCATATCCTAGGCAGCAGCTGAAGCAGCAGCAGCAGCAGCAGCAGCAGCAGCAGCAGCTGTTGCTTCTGTTGCTGCTGAGGCTGCAAAGGGATAGAAACCACAGTTATCTTCGTTACAGGAGAACGTACAAAGACGCACCCACGGCTCTTTAGGGTTTAGGGTTTAGGGTTTAGGGTTTGGGGTTTAGGGTTTAGGGTTTAGGGTTTCGTAACCCCTTGTCTGCTCGTGTGCTCCATGCCTGGTCTGTCTGAGGCTATCACCAAATGTATTATTAAATATATTTATAATTAAATATATTTATAATTAAATGTATTTATTTAATTATATATATATATATATATATATATATATATATATATATATATATATATATATATATATATATA